TCGCGCGCGAGAACACGTTCTTCGACGTCGCGGTCGAGGCCGACCGCGACTCCGACGACGACCCCGTCGTCGGCATCGTCGACGCCGACTACGACTCCAACGACGACGACGGCAGCGCCGGCTCCGACACCCCCGAATCCAGCCTCTGATGAGATCGCCCCGCACCGATGTCAATCGGCCGAGGAATGTAAGACGATCGCCCGCGAGACGAGGCGCGCGATGTCCTGGGGCGGATCGGCGCCTACGTCCGTGCGTGCTATGACCCGGTCTGGGTCGTCGCCGAGGACTCCCGCGAACCGCGAGCGCGGCGACGCCGGGGCGCCCTAGGACGAGCGTCGTAAAACGACCTTACTAAGGAAAGAAAACGAAGGGGCACGGGATCAGGCCGCAGTCTTCGACGCCCGGGCAGAGGCACACGGGCGGTCTCGACCCGGTGGGGGAGTGCTCGGCGGCGTCCTGCATCGCCGATGCGACATTGAGCTCGGCAATGGCACCCGCCTCGGCGCGAGTCGGCTCCCACTCCGCCTCCTCGTCGCCGACGTAGGCGTCGTCGTCGCCGCCGCCGCGGCGCGCGGGCTCGGCCGCCGCGCGGAGCTGCGCGCGGAGTAAGTGCTCGCGGAGCTGGTCCCGGATGGACCGCGCGATGGCCGTCGTCTGGTCCTCGGCGAGGTCGAACTGCGCGCCGACGGTCGCGGCGAAGGCGTCGGGCGTCGGGGTCCGAGAGTGGCCGTGGGGCCACGTCACCGTCGCCTCGACGACGCGGCCGCCGTGGAGCGGCACGCGCACGAGCACGCGCGGGTGGCCCTCGGCGGAGAAGTGCAGCGGCGCGGGCGTCGCGGGCGCGGCGGGGTAGGGCGGGAAAAGAGCGGGAAAGAGCGAGTGGGCGTCGTCGTCGCATCGGCGGCGCCGTTTCCGCGGCGGCGCGCGGCGGCGCGACGGCGCGTCGTCGCGCCGCTCCTCCTTCTTCTCGTCCGCCTCCAAGGCCGAGGCCTTGCGCGTCGTCGCCTCGAGCTTGAATCGCTCGTCGGCGGCCCGACCGTCCGTGACGATGCGGTTCCAAGCGTTGATCAGTCGCTTCGCGTCGCGCCGCTCGTCGCGGGACCCGGTCTTCCGGAGCATGTCGAGGGGGCCGCCGAGGCCGCCGAGGCCCATCATCGCGATCTCGTTGAAATCGAGACGCGTCGAGTAGATGTCGCGCAGGATCTTCGCGGCGCAGTTGCCGCTGTCGCACGCCTGGCGGAGCCGCGCCACGAGCGCCTCGAGCTTCATCGCCCGCTCGCTCGCGCGCCCGACGCGCGTGGGACGCGAGTCTTTCGGCTCCGAGCGCGTGAGGCGCGACGCGTCGACGCCGAGCAGCGAGTTCCGGGGCCGATCCGCGGCGCCGACCTCGCCCCCCGGCTCGCTAGAGCGCCGGACGCGCGTGACGCTCGACGCGTCGACGCCGAGCACCGAGTCCCGGGGCCGCTCCGCGGCGCCGACCTCGCCCCGCGGCTCCCGGGCCTGCGCGTCCGCCGGCCGCAGGTTCTCGCGCTCGAGCTCCTCGACGCGCGACGGGTCCTTCTCCGCGCGCGCGTCGCGCCCGCTCGGGGGCGGCGGCGCCGCCGCCTCGTCGTCCTCCTCCTCGGCGCCGCTGTAGCCGTCCCCCTCGTCGAAGAAGTCGTCGTGCTGGGCGTCCCAGGGGCTGTACATCGTCGTCGTCGGATTCGTCGTCGTCCTCGACGGGCTCAGCGCTGCGGCGAAGTTGTGCACGACGGCGACGACGTCGAGAGCGGTCGATGTGGCAAGCGTGCGACGAGGTCCACGTCGAGCGCGCGCTCGGGTCCGCGCGGCCGAGCACGTTTTCAAGAGAGGGCGGGAAATCTGCCGCTGACCTCTCGCTCGCCGAACCCGGATCCCTCCGATGGCCAGCAAACCTCCTTACACCCCCGCCACCAGCTCGAACCCCAACAACCGCGCCTCCATCCACGCGATCATCAGCCGGAGA